GGGGGGGGGAACCGGGGGGGGGGGGGCTCTAGGAGGAGGCTGAACCATCCCTTAAGCGGCCTGCACCCCACCACCTCAGGCGACCACAAAGATGTGGCAGAGAGCCAGGGCCTGCGCTCGTCTGCCAGAGCCCCCTCGGTCCCTCGCGGCATGGAGGGGCCCAGAGGTTCCTGGCTGGGTCAGGCTGTGCTCTGGGCCTCTGTACCTGAGGACTGCATCGGACTCTCAGAACTGGGCCTGACAGAACAGCCTCCAGACCTCGAGGGCGCATCATGCCAGTGGGGACTCTGGACTCCACTAGGCTGAGAGTGTCCAGACCAAGAGCACAGCAGGGCTGACCTCTGCCGCGGGTGCCCGTGGACAGCGTGAACAGGGGTCCTCGCGGTGGAGACCAGAGGTGGCAGTGGACAGCCGCCCGCCTCCCTCTACACTCAGAAACCAGCTTGGGGAGCTGGGAATTGGAGACACAAAGCATTTTTATTAGCTAGGGCATTACTTACGTGGACTGTTAAAATGATCAGCTTGGACTAAGCTTTACAATGGACTGAACATTTAGGGACATTTTTCTCCCAGTGGCTGGTGGGTGGGGTGTGTGAAGCGGTCAGTTATGTTACAAAAGGAACCTATGTTTTCTTTGCAGGTATGAGCACCAGTGAGAGTAAAAGGCCAATTGGGAAGTCAGGGAGGGGCCCTCAGAGGAAGCAGGACCTCCCCTGGGCTCCAGAACTCTGCTTCTCCAGGTATGGTTCCTCCCGCCACCTGCATCTCATCTCTGGGGCAACTGATTAAAATGCAGACTCCTGCCCCTCGAGCCCAGGTTGGTACAGACTGCCTGGTGGCAGGATGGGCATCAGGTTTTAACAATCATCCAGGGGCTTCTGTGGTACCTGAGGCCTGAGAGCCACTGCCTTAAAAGATTGGAGTGTGGCGGGAATGGGGAGATGGAAAGGGAGAATGTGGGTGCAGGTGGGGAGGGGAGGCAGTGTGGTCGGTGGGGTCCCGGGGGCTTTAATTACCAGTCTAGGAGCATGGGAATGTAAGATTACGTGCAATGCAGGATCCCCTTCCTCCACGTGGCCCCAAAGTCTTCCATTTTAAACAGTTGTAGAAAAATGGCTGGAGGAGCCTATAGCACAGGGCTAAAAACAAACAAAGCAAACAAACAAACAAACCCTAGTGGCTCGCCATCCGCCGCTGGGATCTGGTTCCCGCATCCTTCCTGAGTGCACCCTCGAACATTTGTATGTCTGAAGATGTGTGAGTTTCACGGGAAAGACGCATGCAAAATTAGAATGCACGAATACTGACAAAACCATCATAATTCTGCTCCTGTCAGCTACACAAATATTAACCAAACAGCAAATATTTGGGTCATTTAAAGTTTAATTAAATGAATGTTTTATTAGATTTAGTCCATGTCAATATTCCCCAGATCCTTTTAAAATTCTGGAGATATTTATGGCAAATGAACTGCTCCTCACTCTTGGTTATTTACTGTTCAACACGTCTTCCCCGGCAGGCCCCATCTCCCAGGGTGATTTCCCAGTGAGGGAAAGATGAGGCAGCATCACGGCCTGGGGCTCGAGCGAACTGGGCAGATGCCTGGCTATGGCTCTGGACACCCTGGCCTCCAGGCCTGGCTCTGCTGGTGACACCCGAGTGGCCTCGGGCATGTCCCTTCCTGTCCCTGGGCCTCAGTTTAGACATCCATATAATGACGGACTGGGCTAGGGGGGCTCTGGGGGCCCGGCTGGCTTTCATGCTCTAGGGCTCGGAGCGCACGGTTCTGAGCAGACGTCCCTGCTCACTCTCCCCGGTCCTGCCGGGAGCTGCCCGGCTGCTGCTTCCCTCAACGCCACCTGCCTCCGTCCCACTTGCCGTGATGGTACAAGTGACGCCTCAAGTGGCAGCGTGAACAGTTGCCAAGCCCACAGGGGCTTCCCTCCTGATATGCCCTGGACCCGCCCATCCCTCTCCGTCTAGGTCCTCAACAGCCTCCCGTGTGGTCACCCCTCCAGTTTGCCCCTTCTGCCCGTGAGTGTCCTGGTCACCACCTGGAGTACAAGATATATCACAGCCCTGCTCAAAAGCTACCAGTGGCTCCCCATCACCCACAGATTCACCGTGAATTGAGAACAGCCCCCGACCTTGGCCCACATTCTCCTCCCAGGTGACTCAACACAGTACCCACCGGTCCCCATCCCATTGTGGTTTGGGGTCTAAGCTTGTGCCTACTTGGCACCTTCTACTTGTCTATTCTGAGACTCTCACACTCTTGGTCCCCAACTCCAGGATGACCTCATGGGATGTTTCTGGGACTCTGAAGTCTTCACATAAGGAGACACTTGGACAGACATTGGGTGAAGATTGAAAGAAATCATCCTGGTGAACTTATCATGATCTTTTCAGCCTTAAGTAACAGAAACTCTCAGAAATGCTCAACTAGCCTAGGGAAAAAAAAAAA